GGCCTTGCAAGACTGTATGATCATGGAACTGACCCTCAAACTACGCATGTGGTTGGTACTCTAGGGTACCTTGCCCCAGAGCATTCAAGAACTGGCAGGGCAACAACAAGCACTGATGTATATGCCTTTGGAGCCTTTCTACTTGAGGTTGCTTGTGGTAGAAGGCCTATAGAGCAACTAGCACCCACAGAAGACATAATTTTAGTGGACTGGGTTTTCTCCCACTGGACTAGAGGTGAAATTTTACAGGCCGTTGACTCAAAATTGGGTAATGAATATGTGAAAGAAGAGGTGGAACTGGTATTAAAACTTGGGTTAATATGCTCTAATTCTGATGCTGTTGCTAGGCCAAATATGCAGCAAATTCTGCTGTGCTTAGAGAGAACTGTTGCATTGCCAGAGTTGTCATCACTCCGTATTTCTCGAGCTGGCATAACATTTGCACATGGTGAAGGCTTTGATGAATTTATTATGTCACGTCCATCTTCAGCGAGCAAGGCATTTACGTACTCTTCCTCCGTTGCTGACTCCTTGCTATCTGGTGGTCGATGATTATCTGATGTAGTGTATTATTGTATTGATCTATCTAGACCAATAAATAATAAGATCAGTGTGATGACTTCATTGTATTTGAATTATATATAATCATAGAACTTGTCATCCTATATATTTTGTGGAACATAATATAATTTTATTAAAAAAGTGCTATATGTTGTAAAACTATAAGATAAATATTGATAATTATCTAGTTTTATTATCATGCATAGATAAATCTTATCTAGTTTAGAGGGTCTATTTCACTTCAATTATAACTTTAATTTTAAACTCTATAAATACGGGACTTGATTGTCAATAAAATAACCAATTGAGTTTTGACTCTCTATTTATTCTCTTTTATTTCTTTAATTTTATAATACGTTATCAGCATGAACGCTTTTATCTAATTACTAATTTGTATTAGAAAAAAATTAGCGATCGAAACTCTGTGCGCTAAAGTTTTTACCCAATTTCAAATTGTGATTTTTTTTTTTAATATTACACGTTTTGCACCCAAATTCCAATTCTGCACTCAGTTCTAATATTCATATTTTACACTCAATTTTGGAAATCCCCTATTTCTGTTGTTTACTTGAATATTATGATAGAATTTGCATGTATGTCTTGTAACATAATAATTTCTTTTCTTTATTAAAATTGAGTTGCATGGGGTTTGTGTAGAAAATTTAATATGTAATTAAGTGTTGGAATGCATATTCCATTGAATTTTTTTACATCTCACTATGCACGTCAATTGCTAAAAGTGATGGTTTTTGATAGTTTTAATTGCATATTAAATTAAAGTAAACATTATCTTGTGATTATGTGAGGGAACTAATGGTGTAAATTATTATCCTTGTATTAAAAAAATATGTGATTATATAAATTGATTAAATATTATTTTATGGTATTGATTTATATAATTTTTTATTGTCCTATCACAATGTGATTAATTTTTATTTTTTTTCGTTTATAAACTTTAAATTGATCATGTTGTTGCTCATAAAGAATCAAAACTTTGCAAATAATTAATACTATGCTATAAAATATACTCATGAAGAGTTAATATTTTTAAATAATAGTTTGTTGATATTATTGAAGTAGCACGACATTTTTAATGTTCTAAAACAATATTAATTGCTCCAAAAGAGCATGATATTACTATTTAATAGTCCAAAATAATATTGATCGATTTTTGGATAAAAGCACAAAATATAATTTTCACTATTTTAGAAGAATATTGATATATTACTTTTGAATAAGCAAATATATGGCTTCTGAAGAATTAATGTTTCCAAATAATAGTATGTCATTGTCCCTTAAGTCTCACAACTATTATATCTCAAAAGAATATTACTTACTCTTGAAAAGCATGAATTACAATTTTCAATATTTCAAAATAATATTGATATACTACCCTTGAAAAAGTAATAATAAAATATAACGTACTCTCGAAGTAGTACATTTTAATTCTCATTAATATTCTAGTTAGATTTTTATTTGCTCTCGAATAGCATAATAATATAAAATCTAACATAAATTATGTTTCTACTCCTGAAGAGTAAATCCTTACATAATTTATTATTCTAAACAATAATATGTTATTACTCCTGAAAAGCATTATGTTATTGTTATTCTGGAATGAAGTGCGATTCAAACATTTGAATATTCCAGAAGAATATTGCAAAATTATTTGAATCAATTAATACAAATCAACCTCCTTGAAGAATATTGTGTTGTTCTGAAAGAAGAACAATTTTATATTTATTAACATTATGTGGTTATTTTTTAAGAATCACAATTTAGATGTTTCAATGTATATATTATATTGATCCTAGAGAGTTGCAATTTTAATTAACTTGCTTCTAAAGAATATTGTTTTGAGACTCCAAGAGTCACTATTGTGTGATATGAAAGGATAAATTTACTATTGCTAATAATTTGTCCTTCACTAAATAAAAGGGAAACGTGAAAAAGTTTCTAATAGTGCTTCTTAATGGTACATTATACTAAACTCTAGTGATCATTTTATTGTTTGGCATATTCGGTTGACCATCACTGAATCAATAATATTGCAAAATTCAAATGTACATTCAAGGAAGAATCAGAAGATTTTTCAATCCAATGAATTCTTATATATTATTTGTTTTCTTTATCAAAAATTGATCATCACTAGCTAAAATATGAATTAAATCCCTTATGTTTTTGAAAATTAATCAGGGTGACGGATAGGGCCCCATCATCCCCAATGTTGATTATTTAGATATTATTTGTATTTAATAGATTTGATACACGTACTAAATGATTGCACGGTGTTCGCAATTTGAAATTTGTGAAATTATTGCTCAAATTTTAAATTATAAGCATAATTTTCAAATTATACAATCAAGATGATGTGTTCTGTTAATACTAGTGATCCTAAATCTCAACATTTTATTAAGCGTTTGTTGAGATGTCCATAAATAGTTTAACACTATTTCTTGTTAATTGCCTCCAATTAATTTAATTGAGAACAAAATACTTCTCAATACTATGTAGGGAATGTTATTAAGTATCATGTCAGTTTTATAGTTCTCCATATTATAATTCGCTTATGGTCAGAGCCTGATTTTTTCATCTAATTATTTTGATAGTGCAATTATATTTACAATTAATTTGCCACATTGCACTAAGATGAAAAGTAAAGAATATTGAAAAAAAATTGTGTAGTTTGAACCCTTATCTCAAATGAGTGATATTTAATAATTCAATTTGTTGATTGTCAATTTGATAGGACAATTCTCTCAGCATTAGGGGAATGAACTAAAAATGTGAAAATAATGTACAAATGTATCATTATCGAAATCATCGAAAAAAAATAATTTCAATCAAAAGTTAGAAAGATAATTTATTTAGATGTATTTACTGACTAAATAGATCAACTATATCTCACACACCAACTTTAAATACTCCAACTCGAATTAATGTCCTAGAAGACAATTAATTAATATTATATTTGATAAATTTATGGAACATCTGAAACGTTATGATATTTGATTATAATACAAAAATCTACAAACGAAAATTGAGCAATTAGTAAATATGATCTCATTTAGGAGGTGTATACTTTTGAAAAATATATAGACGTAACAAAACGTAAAATCTCAGATTAAGTTCATGTTCCTGATATGTTGAAAATTGAGATATATTAATAAGTTATGTGTCATGAGAAAATAAATAGAATCGAAAAAAAAAGGTTATCGATAACACTTTTACACATGATGTACATGTACTACATCGTATTATAAATAGTGAGGAATCGATATAAATTCATCGAATTATATTGATCGAAGAAATAATTGGACAAATAAGTGGATGCAATCCTAACAAATTGAATTTACTAGAAAAACTTAAAATTTTGGATTTACAGTCCGAAAACCTAAATGTGTATAATTATGAAAAATGAAAATAGAAAAAGTAAAGTCATAATATGAAATCTACGACTCTTTACATAATGATTTTCGGGAAAATTTGTGTAAAATAGATAAACTATCATGTGGTGGATATAATCACAAGTCTCTATTTTATTAGTACGATGTGCATAAAATTTGATATGTATATAATAAAGTTGACTATAGCCAACTCATCTGGTATAACTGTTAATGTTATCTTGAAAGATTTAGTATGCATGAAACATATAATTCATACAATATTATCACGAGAGAGAATAATTACGTGTTGTACTCTTTTTTCCTTGATCGAGGTTTTGTCCCATTTGTTTTTTCAGATAAGGTTTTTAATGAGACAATTTTTGTGGCATATTCAAAAGAACGATGCAATTTTTTTTCTTCATTGGGATTTTTCTGTCTAAAATCAGAATAAATTGGATCAAATTTCCTGCACAAAACAATCTCATTTGGTTCACCTTATGTGCACACTAAAGCTATACAAGCATTATACATACAAAAGGAATATTCTAATTTATCAAAAAATCTTTTGCCAAGTGGCTAACTGATTATATTCTACTCCAAAGAATCATTCTAACGTGCACAACCTTCCACTGAGAATTTGTTAAGCTGTTGGTTTGTTGGTAGTGCAAACTTTAACTCCCCCTTTCAAGGTGGAGTGTATCTCTAACACTTCAAACTTGTCCCTGAGAAACATGAATATAGAATAAGGGAGGGATTTGGTTAATAAGTCTGATGTCTGATCAGATGAAGGCACGTAATTAATTTCCAATTCTCATGTCAACACTTTATCTCTTATGAAGTGAATGTCAAGTTCTATGTGTTTTGTCCGTGCATGATAAACTGGGTTTGAAGCTAGTGCACTTGCACTTAAGTTATCGCACCAAATCTTAGGAGTTGTCATCTGTGGCATTTTCAGTTCCTTTATCAAAGATTGAATCCACGTGATCTCAGATGCACTGTAAGCCAGTGCTCAGTATTCCACTTCCGTGCTTGATCTTACTACCACTTGTTAGTTCTTGGAGCACCATGAATCCAAGTTATCTCCGAGGTAAACACAATAACCTGTTGTGGACCTTCTATCATCTGAGCAGGATGCCCAGTCAGAGTCTTCAAATGAGGTTATATTAAGGTTGTGATTTTTGTAAATTGCCAGACCATAGTTCAATGTTCCTTTCAGGTATCTGAAAACTCTTTTCAGTGCTTTCCAATGAGCATCAGTTGATGTTTGGAGGAACTGACTCAATCTATTCACCGAGTATGAAATGTCAGGCCTTGTGTGTATTAAATACTAGAGACCACCAATAGCACTCCTATATAGAGTTGGATCCTTCATTATGTGCCCTTCAGTCTTAGAAATTAACTTCCCTGCTGCCATAGGTGTTAAACTCGGTTTAAGATTCTCATAACCAAATGTTTTAAGCAAGCTGATAGCATATCTTGTCTGAGTTAAGCACAACCCTGCGGTATCTATATGAACTTCCATTCCCAGAAATTGGCTAAGGTTTCCCATATCTTTAAGAGAAAAACATGAGTTCAAACTATCAATAACGTCCTGTAATTTTTCAT